TGTAGACTGTTTTGCATACAGGATCAGATCGGATCAGGGCCAATATGAATTCAGCATGACAGCTGAATCAACAAAACTTGATTTTCAGTTGACTGGATCTCCAGGATTGGAACCATCACTGATGTTCTTCTCATATTTTGTTCTAGCTAGAACCTATTTTCATAGCTGTGGAGAAGTATTAAAATGGGGAAGGGTAACATAGACTTGTAAAATTAATGTTATAAGGAGTGTAATGAAAGAAAGATTTTAAAACAGTACTATTCCTTTGACTTAAGACAACATTTTTTTTTCCCTTTGATTTACACTCTACTCTTAATGGTTTCGTGGATAGGGCCAGGTGGATTTTTTGATAATAGTGCTTCCATTATCTTCATTACCTCCTCCTGACATGGTTTGCCTTAGAGCCTATCCTACCAAGGCTCATTCTATTTAATTTTGATTCCAGACAAGAGTATCAGTTTCTAAGTAGAGCAAACTATGTCCTCCAGATGTCACTGGAATATAGCTGTCAAATATGACTGTTGACCGTACCTGTTGATGAGAATAGAACTCCAGGAAGGAGATTGAATCAAAAAATGTGATTCCTTCTCTAAATGTACAACCATTGCTAGGCCTAGAAGTGTGATTCTACCTATCATCCATCTATATCATCTATCTATCTATGCTATTTGTCTGTCTGTCTGTCTGCCTATCTGTCATCTGTCTGTCTATCTATATATCTTATCCATCTATCCATCCATCCATCCATCCATCCATCTATCTATCTATCTATCTATCTATCTATCTATCTATCTATCTATCTATCTATCTATCTATCTAATCCATCTTGTTTATCTATCTGTCTGCCTGCCTGCCATCCATCCATCCATCTATCTCCATTTGCAGATGTAAGTCTGGACTGGTCAGCTAACATAGCTTAAAAAACAAGATAAATATGAAACATGAAACAACACAACACAATTTAAAAAAAGCATCAAACCAAGGCCAAATATGAACGTGTTTAGAATCTGAATCCATTTTCCAGCTCATCCAACATCCTAACCCAGTGCAACACCATGCCCCCCGCCCCCCGACTCTTGAAGGTGGTCCAGAAGGATGCTATGGTCAATGTTCTCAAGAGTACCCTGGTTAACCATAGCCACTCTACTGCCTTCTTTGGAGTCATGGCTGGTGTCTCACTGAAGATCCGGGTAGGTGCATTTCTGAAAGAGAAACATTCCCTTCTTCTCCTGGCCAGCCAGTTTTCAATAATAAAACAATTATTGAATAGAATCAACAATGGATAGGGAATTTTATCCTCCCAGCTGCTGCAAAGGTACTTAAGAGTTCATTGAATGTTGGGATATGCATATTCCAGTATGTTATTTCTGAGAACATATGTGGCTTTTGAAATATTTAGTTTCTTGGAATCTTCTTCTTAGGTGACCCAGGACCACGTGGCCAGCCTGGGCTGGTTGGACCTCCAGGGATTCCAGGAAGTGGTGTCCAAGGACCACCTGGTCCACCTGGTCCTCCAGGACCAGCAGGATCACCAGGTAAGGGTCGAAGTAACCAATCAGTAAGTGAGACAATTGGAATTAGAACTGTCAGCATGAGTTCCTGAAAGGGAATTCTTATCTAGGACAGTCTTCCCCAACCTGGCACTCTCCAACTCTTTTGGCAACTTCTGCTCCCAGATGGAAATATAGCCTTGGAAAAGCCTATACCCAGATGGGAATTATGGGAATTATAGTCCCAACACATCTGGAAAAAGTTGGATTGAGAAAGTCTGGCTTCAAATGAAATGAATTCGATGTTTTAGGGTCCTGCTTTTGTGTTGCTTTTCATAAAGTTCAGCTGAGCTAAATAAATTGGATAATTAATGTTTAAATATTAAATCAATCCCAAATAAACAAAGGAGGATAAAATATGCCATTGATGCATAGCTCATCCTCCATGGATATTGACTTATGACCACAACTGAGCCCAATTTGTTAAGTGTGTTTTGGCCCATTTTATGACCTTTCTTGCCACAGTTGTTAAGTGAATCACTGCAGATGATAAGTTAGTAACCCAGCTGTTAAGTGAATGTGGCTTCCCCATTAATTTTGCTTGTCAGAAGGTCACAAAAGGGGATCTCGTGGCTTTGGGACACAATGGTCATAAATGTGAACCAGTTGCCAAACATCTGAATTTTGATCGTGGGGATGGTGCAAAGGTTGTCACTGAAAAATGGTCATAAGTCACTTTTTTTCAGGGCTGTTGTAACTTTGAATGGTCGCTAACAACTGTTGTAAATCAAGGACTATCTGTAATATGAAAGAAACCTTTGTTCAAATGACCAGTAGCTCCAGGGTAACCCCAAAAAGTTCTTCATTAGATATATGGAAGTCTGCAAAAGATATAAATGATTTTAAGTCGAGAATTATCTGTACTTACATCTAGCTATTGTTTTTCTATGAATGCAATTTTGCTTCACTTGAAGAGTTTGTTAGAAGTTAACGTTAACTGATATTGTAAGTCTCTAATAATTACATGACAGGAACTTTACTGGGGTCTAAGAATAGGTTGTATTTAAGAGGATGTTAATTTGAGAAACATTGAATCCTAAAACCCTTAGCCACAATAGTAACATTATCAGGTAAATTGCACCAGCATCTCTTCTCTATTAACTTCAGTGTGTTTTGGTTCTTCTTGTACACCATGCATGATTTTTAAAGCACAGGTTCATTTTAAACCACGATTCTGCAAAATGTGAGCTCCCCATTTCTATTTCTTTCAAGAAAAACTGTGCCTGGAAATTCAAGATTCACTGCATGTTCACAACTCCGTGGCAAAGTACACCCCCCCCCCCAACATTGTGCATCTCTTTCCTTTGGTATTATATCCATTTTATTGCTCTATTTTAAAAAGACCACAAAAGAAAATATCTTTCATTTCTGAGCTATGGAGTGAAGAAATTTTAAAAAGAATTACTAATGTCTGTGAAACTGTTTGCCATGTCAATGGATCATTAATCAGGGCAATATACCTGGCCTTCACCGTATGTTCATTGAGTCAGACCTGGCAATGTAGCGTCTGTGGCACTTCCTAAATGAAACCTGAAGCCTTCAAAGAGCACCAGACTCATAGTGCTTTAATGATATGGTATAGGATCTCCTCTTTGAGCCTGGATTTGGATTAGATGTTCTGTTACTGCTGTTCTGATTCTTGCAAAAGATGGTGGCAATATTTTAGATGAGAACGTAAGAGATCTTAAGGATGTTGTTATAGCTATCTGGGGATATGTTTGACATTTTAATCATTTGGCACATGAGATTGCATGATGACATCCAAAAATAGCTCCACGTGTGGTTGGCAGTTTTCGTATTTAGAAAAGGTTCCGTTATTCCAATTGAATTTGAATCCTATACATATGGACATGCAGCTTTCTTGATAACAGTAGAAATTATTTTACTAAGAAAGGAGAACGTGTCTCAGAGTCGGCTGCACTCAGGTAGTGCCGGCATGTTCACTCCTAATAAATCTTGGTGTTGTTGTTTTTTTTGAACTCTGCAAAGATGTGGCTAGAGACTCGTGATTTGTATGGGGGGTGGATGCCGGAGCCCTGACAATGTGTAGCTTAGGATTGAAATGAGAGGGATCCTTGGTGCTTGCTTGTTTTCTGGCAGACGTTTCATTAGCCAAACTAGGTAACATCATCAGGCTAGCCACTGTGTAGACCGATATTTAGAGTAGTCCCCTGATCCATAATCTTGTGGGTCTCTGCTGCTCTGCAGATCTTCTCAAGGTTTTCTCTGAGGACTGGAAATGGGTCTCTTAGGATTGTCCTCCCCTCCCTACATTTATGCATTCAAGCACTTCAGGTGAATCACTGCATGTAGCACAGCCATTAATGGAGATGCAGCCACAATCTGTATCCTCTCACTTGAACTACCACTCACCTGTTTGTCTAGCACTGGACCTGGTCCACCAGGTCATTGCGGATGAGTTTTTATTCTACACGTATTTATTTTTTTCCCCACGGGATCACTGTTTCTGCGTATCTCAAATATCTGTATCGTTGGGTATTATTTACCTGTCTTTTCTCCTCTTGTGGAAATCAGTGCCTGGCTAAAACTTAACTAACCATATCAACCCGCATGAATTTCATCTGTCGCTGTAATGTCATCTCATCCTTTTCTTCCAAAATTTAGCGTTTCCTGCTGTTAACATAAGATAGCAATGATGCAATTTTTGATAGCTTAAACCTTGGAACATCTTTCTTGGTTAATGTTTTCCTTGATGGGTATTAGCGCCATGTAATTATGGGTGTTTTTTTGGATAAGTTTTGTTTTAAAAGGGAGAGGAGGGGATCCTCCCAAATATTAAAAATAAACCACAAAAAAGATTACTGAGCTATACAGTATACCCACTGCTTCACCTCCCTCACTCTGGAGCTTCCAGAAATAATTGAATTGAAACTTCCAAAGTCCCAACCAATATAACCAGTGGCTAGGGATGATGAGGTCATAGGCCATCATCATTAGAGTGACTACCCTATTACTGAAGTCAAAAAAATAAGGGAATTTGTATTTAGTATCATGAATAAGAGGCCATTTTAGGAATGTCTATATTTAATTCTGTTTTCTAATCCAGTGATTATGGCCCACTGGAAAACATTACCATGATGTCCATTCCACTTTCTTTGGTGTAAGTGTTCTATTTCCCTCTTGAAGGAGATAACACAAACTAGAATCCACGATAAGCCATTCATTCAATGGTGGCTCTGTCAAGTTGGTGGCCCACTCTTTTGAATGGATCAACCTTTCTAGATCATATGCATTGAGCTTAGTTCCCAGTCATCCTCTGTGGAACCTCCCAAGGTCATGGTTGCCTGGTTGATGGGAGCTGTAGTCCAGCACAAATTGAGAAAGATTTGTGTAGGTTTTGTTCAAACATCTGTGTATTAACCTTTGTATCCTAACCCTAACGGCATTCTTCCAAATTTTTGCTGGGTTTCAACTTCCTGATGAATTCTTTCCATGATGACTTTTCAACTTCTCAGGCCAACCAGGTACAGTGGTTTCTCCATCTAAGGTCCTTTTTGCTTGCTTGTTTTCCTCTGCTACTTAAATGTATTTATTTATTTTCTATTTACTTTTTTTTTAAACTACATCTATATAAAATGCTATCTCTGAGGAATTGATTTTCATTTCTTGAGAGGGATTCTTGAGATATCAAGGTCTCAAGAGAATGGGGGGGGGTCTCAAAAAGGTCATTTCCTCTTCAAAAAGGTAGGGAAGGGAAGAGAAGAATTGAGAAGCTGAAATCCAGAACTAAGAATGAAGAAGTCTATACTTTTGAAAAGCAACAGCCAATTTGGAGTTGAAAATAAATTGGGTTTATTAAAATGGCAATCTTAAAGGAAAGCAATCCTGACTGTTCTTTGGAAGGACAAATATTGAATCTAAGCTCAAATACTTTGGCCCTCTAAGGAGAAGAGAGGATTTCTTAGAGAAGACGATGATGCTGGGAAAGGCTGAAGGTAAAAGGAGAAGGGGACAGCAGAGGATGAGATGGTAGATGGTGTCATGGACACAACGAATATGAATTTGGGCAAACTCCAAGAGACAGGAGGACAGGGGAGCCTGGCATGCTGTGGTCCATGGAGTTGAGAAGAGTTGGACATGACTTAATGACTGAACAACACTAAAAATTACAAATTGATTTTTCTTCTTCTTTTAGTTTGGAGTTTTTGATCATTTTAAGTTTTTTAAGGAAATTATTGGAGGCAGGTAGTTTGAAGGGGGATGTGAAAGTTTTGTTTTTCAAATAGGGGTGTAGATTTTAAAAAGTAGAGGAACACTGCTTTCTATGAACCTTCAATCAAATAACAATAAAAAGGATGGTAAAATCCAAGAAACAAGAAAGTCTTTTCAGAAGTTGCTATTCATAAGCTTTAAGAGAGCTCATAAAATACACAAAGTTGTTTGATTTGTTTTGAAGTTGGAATTATAACGAGAGAGAATTGTTAGCAACTGGGCATTTTAGTCTTTTTATAAGATTTCAACTTAGAGCAGATAGAAAGTCTTGACTCCTGTCTTTGGAAGTATATTTACTCAATCTATCTTTTTGCAGCATTGATGTCTGGTGGTTGGCCAAGCTAGTAAGAATTCTGATCCAACATATAGTAATGTACAAAGCCATGTGCAAACTCAAAATATTTCAGCCTTGAGCTGGCCTGTTTTGAGAATTTCCAATTCAAAATTAGTTTCAGCATAAAAAACATCTAGTAGCTAGTGCGTCTGAATGTTTTTGATAAAGGGAGAAGAATTCCTCATGAGCTGAGAACTGGGCCGTTGAAGGCCAAACATTTCTAGACTGAAACTTTGTGTATCCTTCTAATCTAAATGGACATACAGGACCAATTTCTCAGTAAGGTTTTGTTCAGAGGTGGTATTCAGCAGGTTCTGACCAGTTCTGGAGAACCAGTAGCGGAAATTTTGAGTAGTTCAGAGAACCGGCAAATACAACCTCTGACTGGCCCCGCCCCACCTATTCTCGGCCTCCTGAGTCCCAGTTGATCGGCTGGGTCTTCTTTTGTTGCCCTGCACAGGAGAATGGAGCTGGAAAGCAGGTTAGTGAGGTGGAGAGGGAATGGGATTTTGCAGTAACCTTCCACCAGGAATGGGGAGGGAGTGGAGATTTTACAGTATCCATCCCCTGGAGTGGGGTAAGAATGGAGATTTGCAGTGTCCTTCCCCTGCCTCACTCACCAAGCCACACCCACAGAACCGGTAGTAAAAAAATTTGAATCCCACCACTGGTTTTGTTTCTTAATAGAAATACTCTGTAAAACAGGTCAGATTGGTTGCAAATAGATGTAGAATAAATCTGAAACTGACTTGCAAGGAGGAAAAGCTTTTGTTGAAGCAATATGTTTGTCAGTGGTTGGATAATATCTGTTTCTGCTGTCCACATTTTAAATGTCTTTAATTAGTTTTGTTTTGTTCTTGTAAAATCTCATTTTTTTCCCTTGGAGTCTGTATTTTAATTTTCTGTATTGAAAAAAATCTAAAAATTAAATTAAAAAACATTCGGTTCTGAAACCAAGGTTCTGAGCGAAGGTCTAATTAGAAAGGCAGTGTCAGTTTTTCAGCTGTGCTTGTCCCACCAAAAGCAAAAGACAATTCTCACTGTCTTTTCTCAAAACATGTAGAGTTTAGTTGAATTTGTAAGGAGTAAGTGGCAAATTTCCAAGGAGCTGGTGAGTAAGTGCAGTTTTCTTCATAGTACCTTGTTTTAAAATAGACTATTCATGTAAGGCATTTATAATATTTTTCTTAGCATAGTACTAGGGAAAAATGCAGATTAAATCAAAACAATAAGACTAATATTGTCTGGTTTGCAGAACTAGTGTTGTCTGGTTTATCTTGGTTAGATCAACAGCCCAGCTGGAATATAGAGTCAGTGGAGAGAAAAGTGAATTTCCAGATATTTTTGCAGACATTTCCAACCACTAATAATGCAGTTAAAATGCCTCAGAGAATCATTTCCCCAATTTCTACATATTAACAAGAATTAATCTGTTGATCACTTATAAAGTCTGTTCTCTAGGGTAGGTTTACATTGTTTTTTCTGTGTTCCATATTTTCAAAACTAAATTCCAAGAGTTCGGTAAAAAAAAATGGGTTTTCACTAAAATCTGCTGAGCTGTAGGTTTGTTGAATTGAGGCTATGGGAGCCAATCTTAAAACCAGAATTATTTATGCACAATGTGCAACCACTGTACCCATTCCTGTTTCTTATGTGTAGGCAAAGGACCCCAGCCTGGTGTACTTTTCAGGTTTGGATCTTAATTCCCAGAATTCTCAGCAATAACCATGTGTGAAGGAATGTAGGCTGGATTCCCAGGAGGGAAGGGTGCATTTCAGAGGAATGAGAGGCAGCTCAGCCCAGAGATTATGTGTGAGAGAAAGAGGGTAAAGGCTCCCTAACATAATTCCAAAGTATAGGCTTGATGTAGGTGGTAATCTACTTCAGTCTGGCAAGATTCTGTCTATAGGTGTGGAAACAATATAGAAATCTACTCAGAAGAGTCACCGTGTGTTTTTCTTGGTTGGGGGTGAGGGGGATCTGACACCAGGTTTACTGAGGAATTCTAGGAGTTAAAACCTAAATTCCTGCAAAGCATGAAGGTGAGGGAAGGATAAACTAACAACTGATTTAGGAAAAACTATAATTTAAAGGATTGTATTCTGACAACTTCTCTTAGGATTTCAAGGCATCCCTGGAGAGAAAGGAGATCCTGGGCAACCAGGATTTGATGTTCCCGGTCCTCCAGGTGATAGGGGCAACCCAGGTTTTCCTGGACCACCTGGGCTTCCAGGTGGACCGGGTTCCCCTGGTTCTCCAGGGCAAGATGGAGCTCCAGGCACACCAGGTAAATATATTTGATGCTATTCTGGTTCTGTAGAAGGGAGGTGCTTTCGTTTTACAATACTGTCTGATAATTGCATAGACATAAAGTTAATAAAGAGGTGTCTTGATGAATGAAAAACAGTAGGGAGATGTCCATCAGCAATCAAAACATTGACTTGTTTCGAAGGTGATGAGCTGAGAACATTTCAAGGTTTCTTACAGTCTGGAAGCCCTCAAAGAATTAAAAGCTTTCCAATTATATTCAGTTATGCTACTCCCATTGAAGCAAGAGAGGCACCATCTTGTTGTGGATGGAGAGTTAAATCCTTTCTGATCTCTGCTGCAGAGTAAGCAGCATGGCCCTCCCATGTGCTCACAATGCTCCTCAGAGGGCTGTCCCAAAATAAATAGAATCACTAAACAGAAAAATGGGAATTATTTGAGCGCAGCGAGAGGGCATCCGGTTCTCAATTTGGCAGCTTTTAAAGGTGTGCACTTCACCTTCCAGAATTCTGAAAGTTGAAAGCTTCCAAAGTTGAGTGATATTGAGTTGGAGAATAGAATTAGAATTAGAAAGAATGGAATGGAATGGAATGGAATGGAATGGGATGGGATGGGATGGGGTGGAGTAGAGTAGAGTAGAGTAGAGTAGAGTAGAGTAGAGTAGAGTAGAGTAGAGTAGAGTAGAATAGAATAGAATAGAATAGAATAGAATTCTTCATTGGCCAAGTGTGATTGGACACACAAGGAATTTGGCTTGGTGCAAATGCTCTCAGTGCTTTGCCATTGCACAAAAATTCAGGTTGAAATTTCAGGATGAAAAGTGATGGAAGTAAACTTTGGGAAAGTTGGTGATTTTATAGCTCCAAATAAAAACAGCCTCTGCTGTGTTTGCAGGAAACAAAGGCGATATGGGAGTGATGGGGGCACCTGGTCCTCTGGGAACACCTGGATCACCTGGCAGAAATGGATTCCCTGGGTCCAAAGGTAAGAGACATCTTGTTTTCCATCCCTAGAATTTAGAAATAACCCCTTAAACTCTGTTAAAGTGCAAGTCTATTTTGGTATATTGCCTCTAGATAAAGAAATTCAGATTTCAGAGACATCCTGCAGGTTTTTCAAGACAAGGTGTTGCCAATAGGTGCTTCTCTTCACATCCATGCATATTTCTATATCCTTTTCATTAAAAACAATAATAGAAGTCTAGTGTGCTGCAAAGCCAAATTCCCCTTCCATCACATCAACATTTTACCGAAGAACACTGCATTAAGAGGCCCTGTATGTATATTTTTTGAAAATAAACATGGTACCAACGTGCAATTTAGTGCTTTGTAGCCACTTCCAAACCCAATAAAACAAAAGACATGTTGGAATGGCAGAAAACCTCAGAGCATCTTGCAACCGCTTGCCTTCTGGCGGATCACGATCCAAGGCAACTAGTTTGTGAGAGAATCTACAAGATGCTCTCAAAATTCCAAATCCATGTGCACCCTACACCTTTAATTGGTGACATTATGCAAACCTAAATGTGTAATCGGAAATAATAAGCTATGGTGGAAAGGTCTTTTGTGTCAAAATGTTAACCTTGAACCAGAGCTGACCTCCATCCAGCCATGATGGAGAAGGTGGTCCAATTAATAATCACTCTAACCACAGCTTTGTGGTTGGCTTGGAAATGAAATGGACAAGGATGGGATGAATTTAGAGGAATGTCACCATGATGAAGAATGCTTTATCTGTCATAGTTGTTGATGATTTAAGGTCATTCTAATGTGGTAAGTTGATAATGTGAAGGATATAGTGGATTTCCACTTACTTTATTGGGGCTTACAGACTATTGTCAGTGCACTCCAAATTAACATTGTGTGCTTTGGATATTGCTTAGGCAATGATGGTTTACCAGGACAACCAGGTCAACCAGGACTTGCTGGACAGAAAGGCAGCAAAGGAGAACCTGGCTTGCCGGGAGCTCCCGGAAAAATTGATATTGACCAACTGGGCTCCAAAGGAGAAAAGGGGGAGCCCGGAGAGAAGGGTAAGAAAAGATTCGCTTTGTGTTCCTTCCATATAATAGGAGTCAACAGGTGGGTGTTTTCTCAGTTTCTTTAACTTCCATTAGTCTGTAGGTTTCCCTTCCCTTCCTTGTGTGTTTCTCAGGGTAAATCTTCCTCTTAAAAGCATTAAGAATATTTATTCTTGGAAAAAGTGATAGAGATGGCTAGACAATGTTCATCATTCATACATTTCCAAGGATTTGGAAGACAAGAAGCCAATAATTGAATATTAATCTGTCTAATATTCCTAAATGAACAAAACCTGGTTTATTTCAGAGAAGTCCTGAAGAACCCTATATTTGTTGGATTTACATCCTTTACACCATAGATTGTGTTCAAGTCAGCTAGGAAAAAAATAGAAAAATAAAATACAAATGTGTAATTAAATAGAAAGGCAAATCAATTAAAATTTATCGTTAAAAGGAACTATGTCACTATTATCTCCCTTACGGGTATGGCTTTCCTGTGCTCTCCAGTGGACATTGCATTCAGTTTGGAGATAAATAGCTCACAATAATGCAACAACACGATCAAATCCTTTTTGGGGAATGTTTGGGTGGAATGTTGTCCAACCAGATGTTAAATACTATAATTACCAGTATCCAGTAGGAAGGTTTTGAAATTCAGTGGCACCTACTCTTTGCTGCATGTCTTTGGCTAAGTCACACCTAAGTATGAAGACTACTCATTCAACCTTTTGTTTCTTTGAAGGTAATCCTGGTTTGACTGGTCAGAAGGGTTACCCAGGCCTCCCAGGTGACTCAGGGCCCACTGGATCAGTTGGGCAGCCAGGTGCACCTGGATTGCCAGGTGAGACACAACCAACCCTTTGCTTTTCTGAATGGGCATGCTGTTTTAATATTGTAACAATAGCTCAGCTTGTCATCAAGCCAAGCAATGGTGACCAGCTCTGCACAAAACACTAAATCCTGGTTTATTAATGGCTATAGTCAGATCTGCACATTGTACTAAGTCAATAGGTGGCTTTTCCAGTTTTGACGAAGGACAATGGATGAACTTGGCCATTACAACTTATAAAGATTTGCTTATTGCTTACATGTTTACGGCATGGAAATCCATCCAGCATCAAAATAGTAACAATAACTCTGTTTTAATAGGTCCCAAAGGAGATACTGGAATTCCGGGGGGGCCTGGACCAACTGGGCCCCCAGGATTAAAAGGTGCCAATGGCGAGATGGGACTCCCAGGTAAGGATTTCAGAAGCATTCCCCACTCCTTCCAACCATTCATTGAACTAAAGATTGTCTTGATAATTGGAAACATTTACGTTCAGTCTTTTATTCTTATTTTTATTTATTGACTGGAAAGATGGAGGACAAGAGCAAACAGAGCTGGGGGAGGAGTTAAATGTGTCATCAGCTTAGATTCCTTATGTTGCCACAAATGATCAAAGTCCAGCTCCCCTCCTTGAATTCCATTGACTCTTCTCTGGTGCCAATTCATATTTGAATTTTAGTTGAGTGGATTCTTGTGTATAGGCTTGAACAACTAATCTGAATGTATGATCCTGATCATTTGTGCCTGACACAAATGTAGATTTGTATTGTGAAAGGAGGATGTTTCAAAACAAAACATTTCATGATCCAATCCTCACCAGATCAGAGGTGGTATTCAGCAGGTTCTGACCAGTTCTAGAGAACTGGTAGCGGAAATTGTGAGTAGTTTGGAGAACCGGCAAATCCCACCTTTGACTGGAGATTTTACAATATCCTTCACCTGCCATGCCCACCAAGCCACGCTCACCAAGCTATGCCCACAGAACTGGTAGTAACAAAATTTGAATCCCACCACTGCTCCAGATGTGTTGGGCTACATTTCTCATAATACCATACCAGGAAGTTGAAGATCCATTCCTCTGGATCATGCAAAAGATTGGAAAAAATCTCCTTAGAAGATTGGCTATCAAAAACTGAATTTCACCAATGTAAATTGAAGAGTTGTGATGGCGCAACGGTTAGAATGCAGTATTGCAGGCTAATTCAGCTCACTGCCAGGAGTTCAATCCTGACTGGCTCAAAGTTGACTCAGCCTTCCATCCTTCCAAAGTTGGTAAAATGAGGAGCCAGATTGTTGGGAGGTGGGGGGAGGGCTGGCTCTGTAAGCCACTTAGCATGGGCTGTAAAGCACTCTGAAGTGGTATGTACAGAAAAACAAAGTGCTATTGCTGCTAAATTGCCTCTGCATGGCAAGGACATAGACAGAATCTTAGATGGCTTTCAACGGGGACATGAGAAATGTATGGAGATTCTACCTATCAGTGGTTATCAATCAAGTTAGCTTTTAGGGAGCCCTGAATTAGAAGTAGCATACATGCCTTAGGGAGCCAACATGGTGATATCTCTCTGGGAGGGGAGGGGCAGAGTGGGGCAGGGCCAGCTGGTCTTCGGAACTACTGGTTCGCCGAAGTGGATTTAAAATTAACATCCGGATTGCCCGAACTGGCTGATAGTGATTCTGTGGTGCAGAAACTTCACATTTCTCTTGTGTGCTTGGTATTCCATCTCATTCAGTCCATCTGGGTTTGGTTCTTCTTCATCCCTTGCCTTCCCACTCCCCACTTATAAAGCATGATCCTTGATCCACAATGGTTAGATGCCCTGCCTCAGAGCTGAGTTGTTTTTTCACTGTTTTGCACAGGTACCCCCGGCATAAAAGGTTCACAAGGTGTCCCAGGGCGCCTTGGCCAGCCTGGCTCTCCTGGATCGCCAGGACTGAAGGGAGACAAGGGTGATCCTGGTATTTCAGGCATTGGTATTCCGGGTCCCCCTGGCCCCAAGGTAGGTTGCCCACATTCTTTCCAGAGGTGTTCTAGAGCACCTTTTCATAATCCTGGACAAGATTGCCCTGTGATATTCTCAAGACATCCCAAAGGTGTTCTTCCAAAAGGCAACTGGGATTTTATCCTTGAAAATCTTGTGCTTCTCATTCAAGAAGCTGCTTCAGCTTCTAGATTTTCCTTTCTTTTTTAAAAAATGGTATTTTTTTCGCCCAGGGTGAAAGTGGACTGCCTGGCTACCCTGGCCCTCCAGGCCCTAAAGGATCTTTTGGAAATCCGGGGTTGCCTGGATCGCCGGGTATTCCAGGAGGAAAAGGTGAACCTGGCCTTCCTGGATTCCAAGGTAATTGATTTCATTCGTTTTTCTTCTCTTTTCTTCTTCTTCTGAAACAGATCGTTCTTCCCCAGCTTATATTCTATCCATCTCGTGTCCTCCAGATGTGCTGGGGCTCCTATAGCATCATCCAGAGAGTTTGGGACTCCTATCCAGATGGCCTTCAATTGGAAAAATCTTTCATGAAATGAGGGGAATTAAAGCAGTTACAGAGAAGCAAATTCTCTCTATAGATAGTTCTCAACTTACAACCATTCATTTAGTGCTGCGGTCTTCAAACTTGACAGCTTTAAGACTTGTGGACTTTGACTCCCAGAATTCCTCTTCCAGTCACGTTAGCTCAGGAATTCTGGGAGTTGAAGTCCACAAGTCTTAAAGCTGTCAAGTTTGAAGATCCTTGATTTAGTGTCTGTTCAAAGTTACAGTAGCACTGAAAAAAAGTGACTTACGACCATTGCAGCATCCCCATGGTCACATTATTAAGAGCCTCTGTGGCACAGTGGTTAGAGGGCAGTACTGCAGGCTACTTCTGCTGACTGCCAGCTGCCTGCAATTTGGCGGTTCGAATCTCACCAGGCTCCAGGTTGACTCAGCCTTCCATCCTTCCAGGGTGGATAAAACGAGGACCCAGATTGTTGGGGGCAAGACACTGACTCTGTAAAACCGCTTAGAGAGGGCTCTAAAGCACTGTGAAGCGGTATATAAGTCTAAGTGCTATTGCTATTGCTATTATCAAAATTTGGACACTTGCCGACTGGTTCATGTTTATGACGGTTGAGTGTCCCAGGGTCATGGGTTCCCCTTTTGTAACCTTCTAATAAACAAAGTCAAGGGGGAAACAGGATTCATTTAACAGCCAGGTTAGTAACCTTACAGCTGCAGTGTTTCACTTAACAACGGTAGCAAATGGGGCAAAACTCATTTAACAACCATCTTATTTAACAACAAAAGTGTTGGGCTTAATTGGGGTCATAAGTTGAAGACTACTGTGGCAATTACCCCATCTTCTAAAATGTTTGAGTTTTGCTTGACAATCCAGTTGCTGAGCTGAAAAGTGTACCTTCCGCTAGTTCTCTTTCTCTAAAATTTTAATCTGTTTCTTGAAAACAAAGGTTTTATTTCTTTCTTGCTCTGAACTTCAAAAACCTTCTGGAATAGTTTATGGAAGTTTAAAACCAAAAAGGCCCATTTCCAAGGGTTTTGTGTTCCAAAAAAGACAACAGAAGGGATAAGGAAGGAAAAAGAACAGAAAACTGATTAATATTTTACAAATTGTGTCACGGCCAGTTGTGATGGAAACAGATTGCTTAGGAATCAAAAGGATTGCTTTGATGGGAGGAAATGAGGGGCTTCTACATGTAAGACAGAGGTTCCTGTATAGTCCATCTTCATTTGGCTTGATAACTAAATCTGGTTTATTTAACAAACACCATACATTGTGAATAGATACAGCTGTTTTATCTGGGCCTACTTTTCTCTTTGCTTCTAATCACAGAAGATTCTTTTTTTTTTTCATTTGATCACCGATGATGTTACCTGGTAATGAAACGTGCAAGAAAACAACCAATCTCAGACAGCACCAAAGATCCCCATCGTTCAACCTTGAGCTACAAATATTATCTTCTATCAGTATTTCTGTCTTTCCAGTTCAGGGATGTTGATGCCTCCTGAGGTTGTCTTGTGCTTCCTTCAGATTGTGGGTTTTGTTTTCACAGGGACACCAGGCATTCCAGGAACAAAAGGTCTTGATGGATCTCCAGGAAGCCCAGGTGTTCCAGGGTCACCTGGACCTCCAGGTAAGTGCTGAAAAATATCAAGGAGGGAAAAGAGTGTTTGATTGATTTGCTTGTCTCGAAAGTCTTTGATTTAGTACAGTGGTTTTCAACCTGTGATCCAGGGACCTCTGGGGAGCCACGATGTTGTCACGGGGTCCGCAAAGGCATGATTTAAACCTTTGGGGTCCACCACAAAAGGTATTTAAAGGGGGCCCATGATGAAGAAAATGTTGAGAACCACTGAGGAGAAGAAGGTTTGGGTCACCCCTTCCATTCTTCCAAGTTAAATGAGGTTCAAGGGACAATGCTATTAAATCTTGACTCCTTGCCATTCCTTTCTTCGATCCAGCATAGATTCTAAAATAATGCATTATGGTCTCCCTCCCAACCCCTATGCAATCAATCAAACCACCATCCTGCAATGGATGTCTGAAATCAACAACTCAGTCCATCCACAGTGACTACCATCGAGCATCATGCTAAGCCAGAAAGTATCATTTACTCATCCCAATTCACCCATACGTGTTGTGTCACAGTTTCCTTAATTGTCATTTGTTGAGTGAGCCACAGTGACTGGATTCACACATTGCACTGATCCAAAATCAAAAACAAGCTAATTTATTGTTTCTGTGTTGAGCTCAAAGTTTTGAGAAATGGAGTTTGACACCAGTTAGGATTAGCTTGTCTTCCTTTCCTCTCCGGAGTTACCAGGGTGTGGCTATTTCTTTATTGTAATTTCCGCACAACAATATGAAGTCACAGCTACCATTTTTTTTAGCTGGTGTTGCCCTTCATATGTATCAAGTTCTTTCCAAGATCCTGATCCATAATGTATCATCATAGTATATGTGTAGGATTCAAACAGTTTGGTCTTTTGCAATTGGCGGATGGAAGTTTTGTCAATGCATATATTTTATTCATGCCATCCAAGATTTTGTGGCATGGCACCCAGTGTGCCAATAATCACTGAGTCCACTACAGACATGGATGTATGCCATAACCTTTCAATTATAAGCAACCCACCCATTTATAACAATCTTGGAGAACATGGGGACTTGTTTTAAATTAATTTTAATTTAACTTAGTTTTTTGAAAAATAAAAACTTTGCAAATTTGAAGAAAACATTTAAAGAAAAGAAAAAAGCAAAATTTTAAGTAAATTAAAAAATGAGAGAAAAAAGACATCTCATCTGCATTCCCCTGGGCACATTTATTACATGCATTTACTAGTTTGTTTATTTGTTAGGTTTTGTGCGCCCCATCTCGTCTAGAAGGGATTCTGGGTGGCTTACAAATGGTGGGAAGTAGACAGTAGTTTTCAAATTTGGTACATCAGGTAGTCTTTAGGTTTGCTAAGTTAGGTTAGGTTGGGTTAGGTTAGGTTAGATTGCCTTTAGGTTTGTTGGGTTGGTTAGATTAATGTTAAGTCAGATTAGGTTGATTAGGTAGTCTTTAGTTTGCTAGGTTAGGTTGGGTTGAGTTGGGTTGGGTTGGGTTAGGTTAGAAGTTAGGTTGTTAGGTACTCTTTAGTTTTCCCAGGTTGGGTTGGGTCAGGTTAGGTTAGATTAGATTAGGTTGTCTTTAGGTTTGCAACTTATTCTCTAAATTAGAGGTCCTAGTTTGCAGAGAACAGCATTAAGTTGCTTGGTATAAGCTTGGGCTTGCACTGAGTTTGTGAATGCTGTGTGGTCCTTTCTGTTTGTGGAGAATTCTGCCTACAGCAGGGTACAGCTTAGAGCTGATAACCTAATCTACATCTTCATGAGTATCCACATAAAGGATAGCAGCAAGAGCAGATAAAAAACGCATTTGATCATTTGTACATAATTGTGGCTAGCTGTACATCTTCTCTTACGTGAAATTTCTCCTTTCCTAAAATGTTTAAGAAGAACAGCTGAAGTGGTCATCTCTGTGATAGGTGAACAATTCCAGTGCTAAATCAGGTCTGTAGAAACAGAGGGAATTGTTTTTGTTTGCATTATGAATGGCATTAGAAATGGTAGTGTTTACAGCAGGCAGATCTTTGGATTACTTTTCTAGAACATCAAGAGAATTCATTGCTGGCAATTCTCCTCTTCTGTCTGTCTTAGGTGAACTTGGTCGTCCTGGCTCTCCAGGCCTTCTGGGGGAAAAAGGACAACCTGGGCGAGATGGCATCCCTGGACCATCAGGACAGAAAGGTGAACCAGGTGAGCTTCCTTTGTTTCTGCTTGATGCTTTCCTTTTCCTTTTGCATCACAATAATGACGATGAATCCATCAGTTGAAAGGTTGATGTAGTTTGGCATTCAGAGATCCGTAACACGAAATTGCATTGTTAACTTGGCCGTTGTGGTTCTGTTTTTTTCAGGTCAACCAGGATTTGGACTTCCCGGACCTCAAGGCCTCCCAGGACTCGCAGGCAAAGACCTCATTTTATTTATTAGTGAAAAAGAAAGTTCATTGTTTCATAATAGATCTCAGAATTGGGTACCAAGTGAGGGGAAAAAAGCTTTTTTCCCCTGACTCTAAAACCGATGCACCATCATCTAGATGGTCAGGTTGCTTCATTTTGGAGACAGAAATACAATTGACATTTGGACAGGAGAGGGCAAGTGTTGCAAATTCTGAAACTCTCAGAATACCTTTAACCAGGCATTCTGAGATTGGCAATATCAAGGGATCCGGTGATGCCCCGTGGTAACATGGGCATCTTAATATTGCAAATCTCAGAATGCCTAGTTAAAAATCATGTTGGCTGCAAAGCTTAGGAGATATATACCCAAAATATCTGGAAGGTCCATCCAGACTTCTGTCTGAGGGTAATGTAAAACTTGCCTTTAGAAATTGTGGGTGCTTCATCAGTGGAGGCTTTTAAGAAGAGATTGAACAGCCCTTTATCTGAAATTGTATAGGGTCTGCTGCTCGCACAGGGAGTTGGACTAGAAGACATCGAAGTCCCTTCCAACACTGCCGTTCTGTTGTTCTGTTAAAACTAAAATGTGTACATAAAATTTGCATCTAGCCATCTAGGAGATTTTGCTTAACAAACTAATGAATAAATTCTTTATTTTTTATTCACATCCCCTGTAACCTTGCCTCACTGCCCATTTTAAACTGTGAACCACAAATATAAAAAAAAAACTCCTCATATATAAAGTAAGGTGAAAATAATGGGAGCTACTGGGATGGTTTTGGATGTTCCTGGTCTTTTGAGAATGCTGAGAGTTGGGAGCTACTGGGAGGGAGATACCAGAAAATATTGGGTACCAGTTTCTCAGCTTACATCATCAAATACTCTGGTGGTCTCTAGCATCTCTCTTTCTTTTCAACAGCCATTTAAGGACCTTTGTGGAATACTGACCCTTTTACATGCCTCTCTCCTCCTTTGTTTTAGGTCAAAAGGGAGATTCTGGCTTCTCTGGACCCCCAGGGCCTCCAGGACCCTCTGGTTTAAAAGGAGAAATGGGTGCCAAGGGATTTCCTGGCGCTCCAGGCTTAGAAGGTCCTCCAGGACTTCCTGGACCACCATCAGAAGGGCCTAAGGGTAGCCCTGGGCCATCAGGCATACCGGGACGGCCAGGTAAGAAAAAGAAGGTCTATACACTGAATATTTTGCTGGCAGGTTATTGGCTTATTGGACTATCGTTTTGATCAGCCCTTTCCAGGCTGACATTCTTGATGATCTGACCAGTCATTTAATATTCAGTGCCTTTGAGACATCATTAAATTATCCTGAAAAAGACAAGCATTATCCATGTCAAGAGACAAAGATAGAATCTGCTGATAATCTGCCAGCAAAATTTTCCCAATTTTAAATGGGATCTGCATGTGATCACAGCACTCATCAAGCCAAGCACCCAATCAACCTTAATAGCATCTGCCCAGGCTGCCTGTACCATGATGCCACCTGATCAGGAAATTCATCTTGTGCACCGAATGATAATTCACCCTGCTCGTAGAACCACTGGAAATCAAATTCATGTTAGCAGCACAGCATGTTCAGTTTTCATCATTTATTCCTCCTTGTTTGGGTTATGCTCATCATTAATGCTCGTTCTTATCCCACCGTGTCCTCCATTCCAGCAGGTGCAGTGCATCCCATCTCATCTTCATTCTGTCACCATCCATCTTATTTGTTTGTGGTTCCTACGTATAAGTGATAATGTTAAATAAATGCCACCGAGCCGTTACTGGTATCTGATAAAATCTGCCTGACATGTGAAATGGTGTTTAGCAAGTTTAGAGAAAGTTCTATAACTTGTATGCTATTTTTATATGTCCAACAGTCCGGTTTTGGAATTCATTAGCAATATGACAACTGAGTTATTAGAATAGCCATGGTAGATGTTTCAGGGTTATTTAGACTGGCCTTTAATTCAGGGAACTCCAAACTTGGCAACTTTAAGACTTTTGGATCTCAATTCCCAGAATTCCTCAGCCAGCATGGCTGCCCTGAGGAATTCTGGGAGTTGAAGTCCACAAGTCTTAAAGTTGCCAAGTTTGGAGACCCTGCTGTAATTGACACTTTTAGTATACTTTCTGATAGTTGGTAATACTTAATTAGTGATGACACTTTATGACCATAGAAGATGCATTTTTATTGTAGCTCAACCTGGACAAAATGTTGTGACATCTCAAAAACTAAAATGATAGAGTGAGTTCTAAATAACATAACGAATTGGGCCCGTTAGGAAATCTTGTCTCTTCCTAGTACATAATACATTAAATCATTTGTTTTAATAAGTTATTTGTGGGGTTTATATTCCACCATTCTGCCAATTGATGTCACTCATAACAAATTAAAATTTTAATTATAACCCCTTAAAATAAGGTATCCTTTAAGTCAGGGGTTCCCAACCCCCAGTCCATGGCATGCCAGAAACCAGGCTGCGCAAACAAAACCCATCACAAGATTCCCACTGATGACCCACACTTGACTCATCACAAGACCCTCCCTTGACACACCCACACCTGACCCATCACAAGACCTACTGACCAGATTAAACCCTTATAAAAAGAGGAACACTGACACTGACATCCCCTAAACTCCGCTGAAGACGTTACCTGGCCTGGTAATGAAAATGTTCAGAAACCAATCTGCATACTTGGAGAATGAACCTTCATCCTCAAACAAGCGAAGCCCATCTGTGGGATGCAGGCAGCATGTGAAGTCACAACCCCTCCAGACTGTGCAAAAACCTCTCCATGAAACTGGTCCCTGGTGCCCAAAAGGTTGAGGCATACTGCTTTAGTTAGTCAGTTAGTTAGTTTACTTTATTGTCATTGCACCTCATGCAACGAAATCAAACACCATCTTCGGTGCATGACCATGAAAATAAACACACGCATCCTTCACACTCCACACCGAAAACCCACAGCACCACACCAACACTGCACTATACAGTAGAATTCAAAAGAGCTACTGCCCTGGGATAGAAGCTGTTTTTCAGCCTATTGGTCTTTGTTTTTAATATTCTGTACCGTCTGCCAGATGGTAATAGTTTTAAAAAAAACACAGAGTGCCTAGGATGAGATGGATCTTTGAGAATATTTTGAACTTTCTTAAGGCAGCGGGAGCTATAAAGCTCTTCCAAAGAGGGGAGAGGGCAGCCCATGATCCTCTGGACAATGATGTTAACCTTCTAGAACGCTGCCCTGTCTGCCCCTGTGCAATTTGCAAACCATACACAGGTGCAGTAAGTTAAGATACTCTCTATGGTGCAGCGGTAGAAGGTCACCAGCAGTTTTTCATTCAGTTGTTGTTTTCTGAGAAGTCTCAGGTAGTATAATCTCTGCTGGGCCCCTTTTGACCAAGGCTGCAATGTGGGCACCCCAGGTCAGGTCCTCTTTTATGGTAACACCCAGAAACTTAAAACTGGCCATTTGCTCCCCTCGGTCTCCATTGATAAACAAGGGCTGGAGGTCTGATCTGTTCCTTCTATAGTCCACTATAAGCTCCTTGGTCTTATTGGTGTTGAGGACCAAGTTATTGTCTCCACACCATGAAAGCAACCGGTCCACCTCATCTCGGTAGGCAGACTCATCGCCCCTGGAGATGAGTCCCACCACTGTGTATCATCTGCAGTTCTTTAAGTTAAGCTTGATGTTGCGGTCTTGATGTTGCGGTCTTATGCCCATGGAGGTTTTTTAGCAGAGATAAGGAAGTGCTGTTGCTTTACTCCAACCTAGCCTTCAGCCTTTAAAGTTCCTGTTGGCTTCTAACTGACCTTGGTTAAATATTAACATAACATCCCCAACTTCAGATAAAATTCTGCTCATATTTTACATAGGAGAAAGGCTGTGCATTCTGACTTTCATATTTACCAGTTCTTTAAGATTGTTTATCCCAGAAATATATTTCCACCACAAAAACCTGAAGAGGGGATACAAGTAGAATATAAGAATATCGTAATTATACAGCAAGGATGAAGATGATAACAGCTCATTAACTGGATATAAACATACCTGTGCAATTACAGATTAAAACATTCACACTAGATAAGTTAGATGTTAAACATTTAGACACCCAGGATAAAGCATTCAGACAAACATTCAATCTGGGAACAAGGAAAGCAGTAGAACACATCTCTAGGACTTCATCAATGCCTTTGAAATAAATGCAAGGAATTTGAAGATAAGCTGTGTTGTTGGGTAGTTTCACATGACCACAGAAGAATTTTATTCAACTCTAAAGAAGACAACATCAACACACATACATTCCCTTCATGTTGGAGGATTGGGAGAATACTAAATTAGGTGAAGATGCTGTCACTTTAGATTGTGACTAAGAGGAAGTGCTAGTAATGGCCCTGTGGCATTGTTTCAATCATCTTTGTTTTCACTGCATGTAGAATGTAAATGTTCATCTCATGCTACCGTGCATCTGCCAATGGGTGAAGACCAAACTGTCGTTATGAGTAAAAGGAAATCCAATTGGTCCTAGAATGATTGGACAAGAAAGCAGTTGCAACCATGAAGAAAGACAATTAGATACATAGAACAATCTATTTTGTTGATAGTGATTGTCAATAATTGTTAGGAGGCTGACTTCTTGCAGCTTTTGGTTGACTTCTTGCAGCTAGTCCTAACATGGAGATGCTTTTGATATACAAGTAGTTCTCGACTTACAACCATAACTGGAACCAGGCATTCTGTTGCTTGTTAAGTAAGTTGTGCCCAATTTTATGACATTTATGACATCACTGCAGTTGTTGGTTCATGTGGTCATTAAGAAAATCCAGTTTCCCCCATTGACTTTTCTTGTTGGAAGCTGACTGGGAAGATGGCAGATGGTGATCACATGACCACTGTAAAGAGATGCTGGTTGCCAAGTGCCCAAATCTTATTCCTGTGACTTTGTGGGTTCTTTGACAACCTTAAGTGTGAGAACCGGTTGTAAATCTCCTTTTTTTTCAAATGTCCTTGTAACTTTGAACGGTCACCAAATGAATGCTTGTAAGTTGAGGACCACTGTAATAACTTGCAGTTATTCTAGATGCCATCCCATGAACAGACTAAATAATTTTTTTCTTGGGGCTAAGGCTTCCACTGCAAATTTTAAATTTTTTTTTGATCATGATGACAGTTTGGTGTACACATGGAATTTTTAAAAATGGAATTTTAGATGGATTGCTGTGAAAACGTATCAGTTTGTTTATGTGTCTAACTATATTGATATTTTTCTTTGTACTGATGGCCTTGGTGAACTTTTGATCACTTCCTTCCAGGTGCCGCAGGTTAGCTCATTAACTCTAGAGTAATACCTTTTGCATGAAATTAAATGTATGTCTTGGATAAAGATGGTTTCTTCTCCAAAATGAGTATGCCAAGTCATCAATCTAACCTATATGAATAATGAGGAAAAGGCTGAAGTTTGATTGAGAAATATCATTAAAACTGAAAGAAAAAGATTATGGTCTAAATTTGTTCAAAAGTCTTTTGATGCCTACACTTTAATTTTTTTTTTAATGGGGTTTATTTACTCCGCAAATTGTAAGGATTGTGGCCTGATTGAAAATGAAGCATGTTTACTTTTATAAACATTTTGTTTTTGTCAATGTGATGCTGTGGGCATGATCACATTTGCCATAACAAGCTATAAATCCAAAGGTGCTTTTTCAAGAGCCAACTGGACTTTCTGGACTTTCTTTGAAGACATTTCACTTCTCATCCAAGAAGCTTCTTCAGCTTCTTGGATGAGAAGCGAAACATCTTCAAAGAAAGATGTTAGTTGGTTGGCCCAACGGTGCATTTTCAAGAGGCAACTGGACGTTGTGATTTTTCTTTGAAGAAGTTTTGCTTTTCATCCAAGAAGCTTCTTGGATAAGAAGCTAAACTTCTTCAAAGACCAGAAAGTTCAATTGGCTCTTGAAAAAACACCTTTGGGACAACCAAGACCTGGATGACTGTGAATCTCCATAGAGATAAGCTATAAACATGATTTATTAGCATTTGGAATTGCATCCTGTATGCCTTTGCGCTGTAATTCTTGTCTTGTTTGTTTATACTGACAGTCCAGTTTGGATGAGGCTGTAATAAAAATGGATCTTGTCCTTTTGTCAAGTTTACCTAGTGTCAAGCATCCAGAAAGTATCCATGATATCAATCACTCTGAGATGTTATCTCTCCAATTGATTTATTAGGAACAGATCTGGCATGTTCAAAAGCAATTTCCCAAGTGAAAGTTTTTTGGCGGGTTACACAGAACCCACCTTCTCTCCTCCCACTTCTACACTTCATAAATCACGAGAACCAATTAACTGCAACTGGAAATTCTTTTTTTTTTTTTTTTTTGAACAAATTTTATTAATTTTTAAAGACATACAAAACATAAAACATAAGAACATAAAACCTCTTTTCTAAAAGTTATTTGTAAATTTTAAACAATTAAAACATTTTATACATCATTGACACATCTCCTTATAAACACATCGATATCCTTTCAAATTCCTCATTATTTCTCCCTATACTTTTATTCAATTATATTTCTTTTCTATATTTATCTGTTTTATATGTTTTTATTCACTGTACTTATTTTTCCTTTCTGGCTTGCTTTATTCTCTTCTATCTTTTATTCTCCATTCCATATCTTATTAGCATTTTCAATTTTCTATATAGCTTCTCCTCTCTTTTAAATTTTCTTAATTTTATTTTATTTATCTCATCTCAATTCGAATCATAATATTTATTATTCTTTGTCTGTTCTATTTCCAGCTATCCATTTATCTTTCTTCTTTGAAAAAAAAACTTCTCCTGTACACTAATTGGAGTATGACGCCTTTATCTCTTTCCCCTACATTTATAATACTTAATATAGAATACATAGCTTACATTGGGATTCTGTTTGGTACATTCTAAAATTATACAATATTATCAATACCAATACAAATCTATTCATTAATATTAATATTCATTTATATCTTAAACACTTAGCACATTACTTTTCAATTAAATCACATACTTTTATGGGAGCACCTACTTTCCATAATTATTCCCCCCCCACATCACATATTATAAATCATTATTTCATTAGAATGTTCCCCCTTCTCCTACTTCAAATCTCTCATTTCACAAAAAATTTCACTAGGATAACATAGTCTAATCATTAATATTAACAATCATTTATATCTTAAACATTTTACCCATTTCAGTTAAATATAATGCCTTTATGGGAACACTTATGCTTTCCATAGTTATTCCCCCCCCCCACATCACATATCTTAAATCATTGTTTCATTAAAGTATTCCCCTTTTCTTGACAAAAATTTCACTAAATTATATTAAATATTTTATCACATTTTAAATTACATATTGTTTCCAATTTTCTAAGATTATTTCTAAGTACAAATGTAAAAATACAATCTTATGTACCTTTCCAGAATCCCCTTTTCAATAAAGTTTACCCATTATCTCTAAAAGGCTTTTGTTTCTTTGCATCTTGCTCCCCACCATTAAGGCTTCTCGTCCCTTCCTTTCTCCCTTGCTTATTCTTCTCCTTGTCCTCTTTACCACCTTGTCTCTCCACCTCCCTTTTATTCTGCTTTCCTCCTTTCTGTTGTTTTCTAACATAGTATCTCCTTTTCACCTTATTCTTCTCTTTTTTGGTTCTTTTTCCAAGTCTTAAAGTCTTCTTTTCCTTTTTCTCTTTCTCCTTTCCTTCCCCAACCAAAGTCACTTGTTCATCAAAAATGGCTTCTTCTTTGTCCCAGTCATCCTGTTGCGCATTCAGCTTTACGTAAGTACAAACCACCATTTCTAAAAATTGAATAAGAGTGCCAAGAGAATCCTTCCCTTCTTGCTTTTCTTTTTCATATTTTTGGTATACAAGTTTCAATCCATCCACAAGTGATGCCATTATAGAGAGAAAAAGTTTTTCCAAACAACCACCCAAGTGCTTTTAATCAGAGATAATTCTCAGAAGTTCCAAAATCACCAAACAATCCAAACAAGCTGTTTCTTTTAAATACTTTCTCCTTCTTCACTTTCTGGGGTTAAAGTTTAGTCACAAAATTCCATTTAGGATATATCTTTTAGAAGTCTTATTAATGTTTAATAACTCTTTAGAGTTCTAGGCAATCTTCTCCTTATTTTCAAATTCTGCTCCAATTTTTTTTCCTCTCCCTTCCCACTCACAGCAAAAAAGGTTTTTTTTAAAAAAAAAATGTTCAGAAATCCTTATCCCTTCAGCATTTAGTTACCTCCAATGCAGATTTTCCGATTTCTCTTATAGTTCCGTCCGCTGTCACGTTAGGAAGGAGAGTGAAAAAAGAAAAAAAACTTTCCCTTTTAGAATTCCATTCGCCGCTTGTAACTCTCTCTGGAAACAATGTATTTTTAGCAACTTTCAAAATTCCAGGGTACTTTCTCTTGCTTTGTCCCGGTAGAAACCACTTTCACAACTCTTCCAACTTTCTTCCTCCTGCACAATCTTGTCCGGCTGCAGGTTTCTTCGTGGCAGCCATTACTGACCGCCGCTCCTCCGCCTTGTGAAAAGGGGGTTTTGCCGGTTGGGGAGGGGGTCTGCGACACCCCCAAACCCCTATCCGGATCCCCCTGTCTTCAGCTGCCTCTACGGGGCAGCTATATCCCCCAAATCCAAATGGATCGGGGGAACCTTGGCAGCGAGCGCAGCAGGGATCGCGCAGTATCGTGAATCCCTGCCGCTGCCGAAGCCTTGCAAACCGGAAGTCTGCAACTGGAAATTCTTAATACGACACACAGAATAACCTTGAACTTTTCAACTCCTCTAACTCTCTAAAAAAAATGTGGTAGCTGAATTTCAAAGCTGACACCTAGGAGTAAATCCCTATTGAATTCGGACTCAATTCTGGATAAAGAAGGTTTTAGCTTCAATGTCTGTTTTCTAATTGCAACTAGATTTTTTTCTTGTAGTAAGATAATGTCGATGAGACAATCATATGGTGTGTGTATATTTCTGTAGGACAAAGTTGACTTGGCATACCCATTTGTATGAAATGGAATAAAAAGAAATATTAAAAGTTTTGCTAAGATAGCTTTTCAGAAACAAATCTTCATGAGCACAAGCCATAGAAAAATTCTGAATCTAAATGTTACTTAAATAGAGCAATCAACTGTGGCTCATTAAAAGTGCAGTTTAATTAAATGGAAAAAAGAAATAGAAAATGGTGAAACATGGTGAAGCAACAAAGATTGGTTACTTTCTGTTTGGGTACTTTGAAAAGGCTTAGCAAAACTTGAATTCTGTTTTGCAATAGAAAAGTTTTGGTTAATCTAATCTTTCGTTTAGCATTAATATAGAATGATCAACCAAGAATGCAGAAAAATAAGTGAGATGGAAACGTATGCATATGTATAATTTATTGTTGATAAATTGCATGGATTCTTTATATTTTTGTGAATATTTCACTGACAAGCTGTAAACTGTGAGTATCAACTCAAGTCATTTTATCCTTTATCCACTATTTTGGAAAACAGTATAGATCAGGATGGATATGATAAACCTATTATAGAATTGGTTTCACCAGAAACAAATGATAGCTACGTTTTAAGTATTAAAAGAAATACATAGTAAATATATCTTTGCATTATATTCAAGTGTTTTAATAATAGTATTGATAATAGCATCACTATTAGTGTCACTAGCAGGATTAATTAACATGCACAAAAGGAACATTATCTTTGAATTGATCTGGAATCCTATGATGATTTGTTGTCAATAAAGCAGTTTCTAAGATTTTTTTAAAAAATTTGCAATCTAGCCTATATAAGCCAAATGATAGTTCCTAGTCATTTTTGGCCATATCATGCTTAGCATAAATAAAATTTGGTTAATCCCACTCAGGATGATTACAACAGAAATTCCTGGCCTCTTGTCTTAATGGCAATGCAAAAGAAATTGGTTTTAGTTCAAATCTGCAAAGACAGTTAAGCTTCATAAAATGAACCTTTTCTTTCCAAGAACCTCAAAAATAGTGGATCTGTTAAGATCCTTTCTTATACCCGAATAAATCATACAGTATTGGAGAACTTAGATCAGGGGTCTCCAACCCTGGCACTTTAAGCCTGGCAGACTTCAACTCTCAGAATTCCCCAGCCAGCTAGCTAGGGAATTCTGGGAGATGAAGTCCTCCAGGCTTAAAGTGGCCAAGGTTGGAGATCCCTGACTTAGATAACCATTTCCAAGATCACTGGAACAAGTTCAGCTAGTCCTCAACTTTTGACCACAATTGACCCCAAAATTTCTGTTGCTGAGACATTTGTTAAATGAATTTTGCCCCGTTTTTTTTAACTTTCTTGCCACAGTTCATTGCAGTTGCTAAATTAACTAGCATGGTGGTTAAGTGAACTGGCTTCCTCATTGGCTTGGCTAATCAGATGGTCATGAAAGGGGATCACATGACCCTGGGACACTGCAACGGTAATAAATATGAGCCAATTGCCAAGCATCCAAAGTTTGATCATGTGACCACAAGGATGCTGCAACAGTCATGTGAAAAACTGTTGTAGGTCAAGGTTTACCTGTACCTCTAGTTGTTTCAACCAGGTTATCCTTCTGCAGCCAAGTCAGTGAAATGGTCACAAAAATAGATACCTTTGTTGTTTACCTGAAACTAACAGATATTGAGCCTTGCTCAGTAGAATGTCAACCAAGATTGACTTTGACAAGTTGTAGCAGCCTTATCACCAGAATAAGTTGTATATCTAAATTATTTTGTCTAGAAACACATGGTATGTTTTGATGTGGGGGGAGAGGGGGTTGTCTGTGCATGCACGTTTGCAACCTGTAAATACAAAATATGCTGGTGAGATGGGTTTTCTCTGTGTACTATCAGCTCATGAATGCTAATTCTAACTAGTCGTCTTGTTTTGCACTGTTATATCTCATATCTTCCCCCTAACAACGAACATTGGCCTTTGGTGAACTCTGACTCTTCCAGGTCATCCAGGTTAGATTCTTAACTTGGCTACAGTTTGTTTGACTGTATTGGTTGCTTGACAATGTTATTTTGCTGTTAACTTAGATCCTGGTTGCATAAGATATAACAGTTAATCATGATTTAACATTACCCCATATTAACATAGACCTGTGTGGCCATAAAAAAAATCAGAAGCTTTCCGTATCATATTTTTGCTCATATCCAAATTTAAACCAGTCCATGGTTAGCTTGAACTATGCTTTATTGAACAAATCAACTTCAAAACATCTCCTATGGGAACACAGCTATCAGGTATGAAAGATGAGGTTCATACCTGAAGGCCCAAATAAATTGATTTATTGTTACATAGCCTATGCACAGGAATGTTCTCAACTAACAGGACCTGCTTGGAGTTAGATATGGGTCAACAGAATTCAAGAGGATTGGACTTAGTTCACGTGTGACTACATAGGATTTCTAGACTGATCCCTCTTTTAACTCCAACCTTAAGTTCTGTTACTCCTTCTCCTACAATGATACATTGATTAATAATTCAGCCCACCTCCATTTTAGCCTTGTGCACATTATGCAAACTTTGAGAATGGGGACATTGGGTACTTTACAACAACCATACTTTACAAAGCTGGCTTGTTTCTGTTAACCATTGTTAAGTTTAGGTTCTGAATTCATGCGTTGTTCAATGTGGAACCTAAACAGTGAATCTGTTTTTCCTAATTCTGATGGGACTTTTGCATTTAATTGCAACTTGAGGAGGGGGGTTGTTAAACAGAATCTTGTGGTGTTTTAAGAATTGTGATTATACTTTTCTTATACTGTTCTTAATGTTCTTATTATTTCTGTTCACATGGTATAATAATTACCAGACCTTTTGTTGTTGTTACCTCAACAATTTTCCAGTTGGTATTAATTTTTCAGTCTTTAAAAGTCAAGCTGAATTTGGTGGATTATTACCTCTTGATTACATGCTATCTCTTCCTTCTACTTCTATGGTTGAAAACTTTTCATGAGATCAACATTCCCTTCAATCAAACTTTTAAAAAAAAACACTTAAACTAATTAGTTAATTTAAGAAAATCATATTCATCTTCAGGACAGGCACCCAGTTAATTCATTGTCCAATTCCTGGCCATCTCAGTTGAATATTATAGGAATTCACCCCCAATGCATCAGGAGGATATCACATCGCCAAATTCTGATTTGTGTTCTTGTAGTATCTACATTCCGCCATTCTGCGGTAGAATGTGTTTAAAACATGAAAAGCACTATATACTTTTATCTCAATTTTTATTGAAGATGCCAAAGACCTGTTCTATTTAAACTATTAATGGCCACCTTCCATTTGTTGAAATGCCTGGAATGAATGAATGAATGAATGAATGAATGAATGAATTGACTTCAGCAAAAGGAGGAAGGACTAAACCAGGGGTGTCCAACCTTGGCAACTTTAAGACTTGTGGACTTCAACTCCCAGAATTCCTCAGCCAGCAAAGCTGGCTGAGGAATTCTGGGAGTTGAAGTCCACAAGCCTTAAAGTTGTCAAGGTTGGACACCCCTGGACTAAACTAATATGGAAAGATTGCGTCAAAGAGGAACTGTTCCTTTTCCCCTCCCCCCATGCCCATTTTCTTTTATCTTCATCAATATCATTTCACTAATAATAATGGGCTGGTTAGTCCCCATTTTTGTCTGCTGGTTTTAGAAACAGGTTTCCTAGATGTTGAGTTTGTTGACCAAGCAATATTAAAGTTGAGTTTGTTGACCAATTGTTGAGTTTGTTGACCAAGCAATATTAAAGTTGTTTCCATTGCTATGAGAATGTCCACCAAAAATATATGTTCTTCTTCTCATCTCTTTGCACTCTGCAAGGTCTCAGGAGATCACCTCAGGTTCCAGGTTGGTGAGGCAGAATCCTCACCCTAAATCCTTTTTATGGCAGTTCTGAACTCCCTGTAGTTGCCAACCATAGTTTCCTACAATTCTGTAGGAATATATACAACTCTGCTTAGAAGATCCAAATTTCCTTTCCAATCCAAGGATTCTATAAATAACATCTCAAGAGGAAATGTTACCATCATGGTATGGGGCCTCTAATTTTGTTACTACCACAATCCCTTTCCATGCTGTCCCCCCAAAAAACCACCAGTGTTCCCTCCTCCTGGCCATTCCCCATGTAGAATAAAACTAATAAAAGAATACTTGATCTCAGCCCAAAGGCTAAGAAATTTAGTCAATTGAATTCAATAAGAAAAGGTCAAATGTGCCTTGGACAAGCGATGCTCAAAAATTAAGGCACAAAGCATTATAAATGGATGTAGCATAACCACAATTACCACCACTCCCAACAGCTGGGCAGGTCCTTCCTTGGCTGGGCTTCACCTTGAACATAAAATGTCCCACAGACATAAAGGACGTGATCTTTTGGCCCAAGACCGCACAGAGGAGAGTGCTGATTCTAAAGAGAGTGACGCTGTACTAACACACCAATTCTGTATTGCCACTTGAAGGTCTTCCTGGGCCTGAAGGACCCCGTGGACCACCCGGGATTGGGGGAGTGAAAGGAGAAAAAGGAAACCCCGGCCAGATAGGTCAGCCCGGACTGCCCGGACTGAAGGGAGACCAGGGAGCACCTGGACAGATGGTAAGTGAAAAACGGGAGGGGGCAGAAAGATGGTTTTTAACACATTGGAACCAAGAGAGGTTGGGGGAATTTTAAACCCCTTTGAAAACAAATCCCGTCCACTTAGGTGCTATTTCAGTCTAAACCTTGGAATGTTAGTTGTTCATTAGTTGTTTATCTGGAAGGGTAACTTCATAAGAGAGCAAGCAAGCAGAACAATTGTAGGAGGTCGGAAAATAGACTAGAAGGACAGAAGCAGAAGGGCCTGTGTGTTAGGATATTTTCAGAAGCACCATTTCAATTCATTCTGCAGGACCACGTGGTTCAGATATTAAGGTCTCTTCTACTGTCTGGATATCCCAGGATTGCTTGAAAAGTAACAGAACCATAGGAGTCTCCATTATTTGGATCAGAAGCAGAAGTTCAGTTCTGTTGTGGACACATTCAATGTATTTGGCCCAGTGATGGGATTCAAATTTTTTACTAACAGCTCCGTGGGCGTGGCTTGGTGGGCGTGGCAGGGGAAGGTTACTGCAAAATCTCCATTCCCTCCCCACCCCACTAACCCGCTTTCCAGCTCCATTCTCCTGTGCAGGGTAACAAAAGAAGACCCAGCCGAGCAGCTAAGACTCCGGAGGCAGAGAATAGATGGGGGCGGGGCCAGTCAGAGGTGGGATTCTCCGAACTACTCAAAATTTCCACTACTGGTTCTCCAGAACTGGTCAGAACTTGCTGAATGCCACCTCTGATTTGGCGGCATCTGAAAGAAGCCACCCGTATAGTACATGTTTTGTGTTTTTTTTTTTTTTTGTTAATGAGGCAGCAATGTATAATTTGCACTAGATCTAAAAGGACCTTTACCTTTTCGGAGCCAAAGAGTACCCTCCCCTAGAGGCTGAGGTGTAGGTGCTCTTCTGATGGAGCCCATCAAAACATATTTTTCAAAGGATAAGCATCAAGTGTGACTGCAGTTAGGTTGATTGCAACATGATGGCTCTTGACCACAGCCATTAAGCAGTATATCCTGGCTTGGTGCTTCAGTATCAAAGAGCACCCTTGATGGCTGATGAGAACTCACCTAACCCATATTGCTTATCCAACTTTTTTCCCTCACTGAGGAATTCCCCATTGACCATGAAGGCATGCTTTCCTTTGCTTCTTCACTGCCTTGCTTTATTTCCCTTTGATATTCTTTGATGATGGAAATACTAACCATTGTTGTGATGACACAGGGTGAACCTGGACATCCAGGCCTGAACGGGATGAAGGGAGACTCAGGTGTTCCAGGAGCACCAGGATTTCCAGGTATTCAGAACAATATTTGCCCTGTGCTGGTTGGTTATTTGAGATCAACCTTGGAAAACCTTCTTCATGGTTTTATCTATTCTATGGAGCTTAGCTTGTTTGCTCTAGGTCAGCAAATCCAAACCCATAAGTTTGAGAATAACCAGGATGAATACTGCCTACTTTTTACCCTAAAACCTCAGAGAAAAAGAGTGGTAGAGTTTTTTAAATATCAGCAATTTCATGTTTAAAAATTGCATTTGCAACCTAATGTAATTGAGAGGTTATTAGAAGATTCCTCTTGCTTAAGGTCTATGCCCTTATGAAAGTCGAAATGATAGGCCATTTCTTTGTGTCTTGCATTTTTTTCTTAACACTTTGGCCTTTTTACTGAGTTCTCTCACCAAATGTAGTTGGCACAATCTTAGTTAGCTCAATGGGCCCCAATAAAGGTGGTTAGGGGGCCCATGAAGTCCATAAATTAGGCATCCCTCAGTGAGATAAATGACATTTGATAAATTTATGTATGCATGACATCTCTCCTATCGGAGAGTAGACCAAAAAAACATTAGTGAAACTATTAAGCAGAGAGTAGAGTAGAGTAGAGTAGAGTAGAGTAGAGTAGAGTAGAGTAGAGTAGAGTAGAATAGAATAATAGAATAGAATAGAATAGAATAGAATAGAATAGAATAGAATAGAATAGAATAGAATAGAACAGAACAGAAATCTTTGTTGGTCAAGTGTTGGTCAAGGATTTGTCTCTGGTGCATAAGCTCACAGTGTACATATAAACAGCAAGTAATAGATAAAATCATAGGCTCTTCATGTCTCCCCTGTATTAACTTGTGTGGGTTTTGGCTTTTCAGGTATGAAGGGACCTCCTGGACCTTTGGGACCGTCTGGCCCTGGAGGAGACCCTGGACCCCCTGGCTCCCCAGGTAGGAATTCTGAGATTAATCTTACAGAGGTTGGCTTCCATTGTTGCTTTCTAAAATATATTCCCATTGTTTCCTTTAAAAAAAAACAAAAACCAAAGTAAAATAAAATGGTTTCGCCGCAGTGAAAATTGGCCACATGCTACATCTAAATCGAGTGAATTTAGCAGTTCTGGGGGAAAGTTTTAATAAGATGGCCAGTCAAGCCAAGACTATGTGGATCTGGGGGATTTGAGTAAGTCAAACATGTGATTTTGAGAGACTGTTGGAAAAGAGCCGTATTACTTTAGGTAGCCCAAAAAATCAGTCTGGAAGTACCTTTAAGTCTATCTACTTTTTATTTGAAAGCATCGCTTTTGTGAGCTAGAGATTATTACTTCATCAGAGGCAATGAGTGGTTTGACTGATGCGAGATTTAAATACGGGGTGAGCCTTCCCATGATCTCTAGTTGTGCATTGTTTTGTTTTGTTTTAATTTTATAAATTTTTATTAAACAAAAAGAAAACATTTAAAAACAGTGAATGTGGTGTAATCATTTCGGATGGCAAGTAATACATATTTACATAATATATTATACATTTATATATTACAACAATTCTGTATATTCCTAATCTGTTATCTTAACATCCTTATCTCATGTTAGTTTTGATTTTAAGTCCTTCCTTTTTCCCAACCAATGGAAAAATGTATCCCATACTTTATAATATTCAGTCTCATCTTTAATTTTTAATTCCAACATTAGTTCATCCATTTCTGCGCATGTCCATATCTTTTTAATGATCTCCACTTCTTCTGGAATTTCCTTGAGTTTCCAGTTTTGAGCATAGACTAGTCTTGCAGCTGTAATCACGTGTATTATTTAGATACGTCATTTCTTTATTGTACCTCTCTATGTTAATTCCCAATAGAAAAATTTATATTCGAGTTTGATTTCGCCCATTTCCTCTAACCAACTCTGAATTTTGTGCCAAAAATCCTGGGCTTTCCTACAAGTCCACCATATATGATAATACAATCCATTTTCCAGTTGTGCGTTGTTGATGTAGTTCAGTGATTCTCAGCTGTTTCTTCACCACAGACCCCCTTTTGTGGCCCGGGCCCCCAAGACTTAACTCAATATTTAAATCATAACATTTCTTCAAGCCTTCGTGGACCTCCTGTGACATCATATCCCTCCAAAGGTCCATGGACCACAGGTTGAGAACCACCAATGTAGGTCATTTAGTCCAACCTGTTCCTTTGATGTAGGGGAACTAATACATGATCAGCAAATAATATATAGGGTCTTATTAGAGGCCATTATCAGTATCAGATTCTTTCAGTATCGAAGGGCACGTTCTTGAAGAGATCATGTTCTGAAGTGGGACATATGACCAGCAGTGAGTGGGAATACCCAGTCTTTCTCTAACACTCCCGTTTTCTTCTTTCTGGCATCTTCTTCTCTCCCAGATCACACTTACAAAGCTCTGAACTAATCTGAGGCGTAAGAATGTTAAAATTAGGCCAACCATTACATGAAATTAGCCTCCAAGCCACATTTGACTCAAGGGCTTGATGGTGAAGTTCTTGAGAGGTTTGTCTGGAATCTACTCTTTCATAACTGATGCTGTTGGGTTTAGCCTTGTGCACTGGGGAAAGTGGCACGTTTCCGGCATTTGAAGAATGTTCACCTGGTTTCTGTCAGCTTTCTCAACTTACAGACTAAACATTCTTTCAACCACTTCTCACAGGACTCATTTTTCACACCAAAAATGTTGCCTTTATCCACAGGCATTCTGGTTTTCAAAGATGGCAGCTGACAATATTTTTCTTAAGAGTCAGGAATCTTACAGCAAAATATCTCTCTCTCCCTCCCTCTGTCTCCCACTCTTTCTCTGTCTTTCACTCTCTATCACTTTCATTCTCTTTCTCTTTTTCTTTCTCTCTGTTTCACTCTCTAGCTCTATTTCATTCAAGTTCTCTTTTTCTTATTCTTTCTGTTTTACTCTCTAGCTCTTTCTGTCTTTTTCTCTCTGTTTCACTTTTTAGCTCTGTTTCACTTTTTCTCCCTCTTCTCTCTCTCTCTCTCTCTCTCTCTCTCTCTCTCTCTCTCTCTCTCTGCTTCAACTCATTTACTTCATGCTTGACAAGGAAAGTGCTTGTTAAAAATGCAGATGCTAAATCTAACCAACAGAGATGGATAATCAAAAGTCTACTGGTTCCCTTCTTCCCCAACTATAATTCACAACAAACAAAGCAAGATTTTACTGTAGCGAAAGCAGTTCTTCCAAAACCATTGACTGGTGTGTATGGATTTCAACGTTTAGCACCTCTTAATGCAGATCCTTCCCATAATATCCTTTTAGCTTAATCTGCACATGAACTATTGTATCATAATCTCAGCAATTCCAGATCCAATTTTCATGGTTATAGATTGAATGCAAGCAGGAATTGTGCAATAAACTTCCCACTCACTAAGTAAGCAGGCCATAGGTCAGTTTTTACCTTTTGACTGCCCACCTTGGGTTGACAAAGGCTTTGGGGATGAAAGGAGTTTTGCTCCAATACAACTTTAATTTGGGGGATACTAGCCTAGTCCAAGCGCATTTAGGAAAATGGGAATATACAAGTAGTCTTTGACCACAATTGAGCCCAACATTTATGCTGCTAAGCAAGACAGCTGCGAAGTGAATTTTGCCCCATTTTACAACTTTTCTTCAACTGTTGTTAAGTGAATCATCACAGTTGTTAAGTTAGTAAAAGGGTTTTTAAACTTCCCCGTTGACTTTGCTTGTTAGAAGGTCACAAAAGGGGATAACATGACCTGGGATTCTGCAACTGTCATAAATATGAACCAGTTGCTTAAATGTCTGAATTTTGGTCATGTGACCAAGTGACCAGGGGGGTGCTGCAATGGTCGTAAAGATGAAAAATAGTCATATGTCACTTTTTCCAGTGCTGTTGTAACTTTGAACGGTCAGTAAATGAAAGATTATAAATCAAGGACTACCTGTAGTTGTTTCCCATTCGGCGAGGTTCTTCATTAGTTGCCAGAACACTAAATTGGCAATGAGATTTGCCCCTGTTGTTCTCTTGTTTCTATTCCTGGGCACTGAGGTTTTCAACTTTCATCTTAGAAAAAGGTAATACAGGTGTCCTCAGCTTATGACCACAGTGAGACCAGAATTTATGTTGTTAAGCAACATAGTTGTTATGCTAGATGACATTCTTTGTTTATGATGGATAGGACTCAGGAAGAAGAGAAATAAACGCTTCCAAGACCAACAAAGTCTTAAAATAACAGAGAAAATGCAAATCTTGGACTTGGTCTAGATCAGACCGAATATCCCAATATTGCCAAGTATAATTGGTAGCTAAAATCAGTGTCTATCTTTTGTTCCAGATGTCAAGTATATAAAAAGCAGATTGTTTGGTAGAATAAGAATAGCAATAGCAGCAAGTTTAGCTATGACTCAGGAGTCTTTTCTGTAAGCAGCTGGCCTTCTCTGAAACTTAGGAAACTTTGGGATGCCATAAAACAAAACTGATTATTGATGGAATTCTTTGTGGGTATATTTATATATCAAATCATATAACCTTTGTCCTTATCAGTACCAAGCAGGATGCAAAGCCTAGAACAGATAAGCCAACCTCTGCTCTAACTTGGTCTGAAAAAAACAATTTTGAGACCAGGATGAGACCAATCCACCTTCTGCTGGTGGCATGTCATAATGCTAGATACTTACCATGTTGTATTCCATCCTTTTTCATGAAGCACCTGAGTAAATGATTTAGGTTCTCAACTTTCTCTTTATCTTAGGTGCTCCAGGGATACCTGGTTCAGCTGGACAAACAATTGTGGTGAAAGGTGATCAAGGGCCACCTGGTCCTTCAGGGCAGCCTGGAATGAAAGGTCTGCCTGGACTCCCAGGGCCTCCAGGTTTGCCAGGTAAGTTCTTTCTGGACAGGTAGCAATATGGAGGAAAGCCATTAGATAGCTGTCTTCTGGCATTCAATTATAAAGTAATCTTGATAGAATCTTTGCAAGCGATCTAAACAAATTCATTCCACAAAATTCATCCATAGGTTCAATTGGCCTTCCTGGTGACATTGGACGGGATGGTCTTCCTGGTTTTGATGGTCCAGCCGGACGTAAAGGGGAAAGAGGACTCTCAGGCCAGCCAGGTAAAGTGAAGGTATCATTTCTGTTGATGGGAACGGGGGAGAAGAGAGTGTCAAGCAATGAAGAGAGACATAGATCCACTCTCGTTTCGGGGTTCCACTGCATATCCAGAAAGATCAAAATCTTTGGAAGATTTTCTTCAGTTTTATTGCCAGCAAATAAAAGGCAGCATGGCGTCAGAACAAAGGGCAAGGCACACCTTGTGTCCAATGTCACAACGTGTCTTGCTTCAGCTGTGTCAGGATAGGACGCAAAGCCTCTGCAACTTATGTTAAGGGAAGTCTATCCAAAATTGCTCCTGGAGAATCTGTGTCAACTTTGGCCTATTTGGAAGGCTGCTTGTTTAGAGAGTGCAGGTTTGCACCTGTCCATCTGTCGAGAGATGTGATTGACTCCGTTCATCCTACACAAACAGGTCTTCGTGGTTCACAGGGACCTCCTGGCCCTGATGGATTGCAAGGTCCCCCAGGACTCCCCGGAACAGGTTCAGTTGCCCATGGATTCCTTATAACTCGTCACAGCCAAACCACCGATGCCCCCTTCTGCCCACCAGGAACCAGCCAGATCTATGATGGATTTTCCCTTCTCTATGTGCAAGGAAATGAGAGAGCTCATGGGCAGGATCTGGGTAAGGCTCTGTGCTTGCTATGGGTTTTCTTTTTTTTTTTTATTAATGAAGATGGCATCGGAGGCCACCTCTGTTATAATCATAATTCGTATTTCAGTTCTTTTTGTGCTTTTTCTTTTCAGTTTGGACAGGTATTTTGGGGACGCAGTGGCTTGACGGAAGCTTAAGAGTTTTCTTCTCTCACTGCATCCATGAGAGTCTTGCAAAATAAATCCCTTAAATCTGGGTGGGGGCTGTACCTAAAGCCCCTGGTCTTCCTCACCCGAGGCCATTTGATCATCCATTGAGATGGCATCTGCATCTCTTGAAGCAGGGTTTGAGGAGCATCTCCTGGAGTAGAACCATGAAAAATGGGAAGGTGGTGTTAAGACCCTTGGTTGTAATGTTGCCCAACCTGGCATTCTGTACAACTCCTTGGCTAGGAATTCTGGGAGCTGTAGTCTTAACATAGTTATGGTGTGCCAGATTGAGAAGATCTAGTCTCCTGACACAGAAAGAAAAGGAGGGGATTCACATTTGGGGGGGTGGGGGTGGCTGATAGATTAATAACACATCCCATCTCCACCCCTGCTCATCCTACTCCCTCCCTCCTCATCTTTTAGCTAGGACTGTGTATTGCATTTTGTATTTTTGTAGTATTTTATTTATAGAGTGTTATCTTTATAATAATGTGAGCCACCCAGAGTTATCTTGTGGTAGACATCTGGAAAGGAAGAAAGGAAGAAAAGGAAGAAAAGGAAGTAAGAGAGGGAGGGAAAGAGAGAGGGAGTGAAGGGAAGGGTCTTTTGGAGGTTGAGGGACGGAAGGGAAGAAAGGAAGGAAAGGAAAGGAAAGGAAAGGAAAGGAAAGGAAAGGAAGGAAGGAAGGAAGGAAGGAAGGAAGGAAGGAAGGAAGGAAGGAAGGAAGGAAGGAAGGAGATGAGATGAGATGAGAATGGGAAGGAAGGAAGGAAGGAAGGAAGGAAGGAAGGAAGGAAGGAAGGAAGGAAGGAAGGAAGGAAGGAGATGGGATGAGAATGGGAAGGAAGGAAGGAAGGAAGGAAGGAAGGAAGGAAGGAAGGAAGGAAGGAAGGAAGGAAGGAAGGAAGGAGAGGGGATGAGAATGGGAAGGAAGGAAGGAAAAGGAAGGAAAAAAGGAGATGAGAATAGGA